CTGAGATCTAGGTTGGTCCCTGTATCCTGGGAAGGAAGGAAGGGAGGGAGGAACTGCAGGGCTGAGTCAGGGCTGTGGCTGGAGGGATTATGAAAGCATGTTGTCCTTAGCTTGGTAGCGAGCGTCTGAACTCGTTTCTCCCTCAGGCTGCCCTGCAGATTACATCCCCCCTGAGATCTTTCACTTCCAGACCCAGTCGGACGTTGAGCTCTACGGGATGGTCTACAAACCTCATCACGTCCAGCCGGGGAAGAAACACCCCACGGTGCTGTTTGTCTACGGAGGCCCTCAGGTAATGGCCCAGAGCCAACAGCTGATTGGCTGGAGCCTTGCGGGACAGAGTGCTCCATAGCTCAGCGCTGCCTGGCTGTGCCTTGCAGGACAGAGTGCTCCATAGCTCAGCGCTGCCTGGGGCCCGGCACGCTGCATGGCAGGCACTCGACAGCACTGCCTGGAGTTTGGTAAACCTGCTTTGGTGAACTGCTGCTGGCTTCTCCCATTTAGCCCAACCGGCATGCACCGTGGACTTCCGAGTCAGCGGCTTTTTCCCATCCGGCAAACTCAGTAGCCCCGCTCAGGACCCGGTGGAATGGCCGAGTCTGCTTTCTGCCAGCGCAGAACTCAGCCGTGCTCAGTTGCTACTGCGGGTGGCCTCTGCTAGCATGTGTAAGGTAAAAAGCAAAAGTTTCACCGGGGGACGTACCAGGTGACTTGCCCTTTCTCCTGTGCTAGGTGCAGTTAGTGAATAACTCCTTCAAAGGCATTAAATACCTCCGGCTCAACACGCTAGCGTCGCTAGGCTACGCTGTGGTGGTGATTGATGGAAGGGGGTCTTGCCAGCGAGGACTCAAATTCGAAGGGGCTCTTAAAAACCAGATGGTAATATTTCTCTTTTGCCTTGTCTCCCTTCGCGTCCTTTCCTCTTCCCCTTTCTTAACGCAGCTCGACTGCATTTGTGTCTATTTCCCTCGCTGCCTTGTTGGGTGACTCTTCAATGACCAAACCAACTCATGCGTTCCTGATCCCTCCTTCTAGGGTCAGGTGGAGATAGAGGACCAGGTGGAAGGTTTACATTATGTAGCAGAAAAATACGGGTTCATCGACCTGAGTCGGGTGGCCATACATGGCTGGTCTTACGGGGGCTTCCTCTCCCTCATGGGCCTTATCTGTAAGCCCCACATATTCAAGGTGAGTGTGGTGTGGGTCGGTGTCCTTCTCTAAGCCCCTGTTGTGTCGATGAGAATAATGCCGGGCAGGAAGGATGAGGGGTCTGCACTTAGCAGCCTTCGCTACAGCCTGGATCCCCAAGCCACTTAGGGCAAAAAGCCCCCTTGCTCGGGCAGTTGCTGCCCAGAATCAAGCAGGCACCTCACGCCGTCTGGGTTTGAGACCCGGCGTGGCATGCGGGGACCCAAGCAGACGGGGTTTAGGCACCGCGTAGAGGGAGACTCGTGTTTGGAGCCTGCCGAGCATGTCAGTTGAATGGTGCGATCGGGGCACGTAGGAGCCCCAGTCCCAGGCCGGGATCCCGTTGTGCCAGTTGCTGCACAAGCACAGAACATAGACCGTCCCTGTCCCAAAGAGGTGAATGAGTTTTGCATCCACCCTACACCTGACTGGAGCCTACCTTCCCGTGGGACGGGTACCACCAGCACTGCAGAGTGCTTTGAGGAGTTGAATGGGAAGGCAAATAGGAAATGGGGGAAGAAATGCACCAACTATCCAGACCTCTCAGTCCCTGCCTCCCTGGCTGTGGGATACTCCAGTGCATATGACCAGGGCTGGAAGGAGAGAAAGGCCATATGCAGGCACAAGTGGGCTGGTCCAAGAAAGAGAGCTTAACCCCCCCATACCTGTTTGGCAGGTTGCTATAGCAGGTGCCCCTGTCACCGTTTGGATGGCGTACGATACAGGATACACCGAGCGGTACATGGACGTCCCGGAGAACAACCAGCAAGGTTACGAGGCCGGCTCTGTGGCGCTGCATGTAGAAAAGCTCCCCAACGAGTGAGTACTGTGGGTTGGATTTTATAAGTAGGCCCTTGCGGTGTGAGGCATGATAGGGACTCTGTAGTGTAATGCTTTCTTTGGTGGGGGGGGGGTGGCGCACGGGTGTGGTTGACATTGTTAAAAAGCTTACGGGAATAATCCTTCCTGCTCTGTTGATTGGGCCTTGGATTCTCCTCCCTGGTTCCCGAAGCACAGCCAGCGCTGGCCTGCAGACGGCATGTCAGGGTGCTAGCCAGCAGTTAGCACGGTGGGGCCTAAGTCCTCCTGGGAGAAGAGTCCTGGCCAGAGCAAGGTACATCTGATGGTTGCCAGCCACCTGCCCTACTGGGCCGAGCTGCCTCACTGAGAAGGCAGATGAAGGTGCCAGAAGGAGAGTAAGGGGAGAAGGAGAGCAAGGGGGGCTGGTTGGGGAGGAGCCTGTTCAGCGCAGAGAACATCCGTCTGAATGTGGGGGTAGTTCCAGGCTCTGGGTAGCCTGATTGCTGCTCGGCTTATCTGCCTTCTGCAGGTGGCCTTGTGCTCGCTGACCCTCCTCGCCCCTGCCTGGCAGAGCTCCCTGCCAAGTGGGCGAGGTGCTGGCTGGCAGCTCCCTGCTAAAGGGCTTCTGCTGGGCTTTGCTCTGACTCTCCTCCTGTCTCATCTCCAGGCCAAACCGCTTACTGATCCTCCATGGGTTCCTGGATGAAAATGTGCACTTTTTTCACACCAACTTCTTGGTCTCCCAGCTAATCCGGGCTGGAAAGCCTTACCAGCTGCAGGTAGGGGGCACTGGCTTGACGGGGGAGGGGGAGGTCTCGTTAGCCTGGAGGCAGTGGGAAAACTTCCCCCTCCCTGACACGTGGAGTGTGGATGTTGCTAAACCTGGAGAAGCCGTTCCTGCCTGTGGGAGACTTTGGCAGCTGACGGCACAGGCCCGGCCAGTAGGTGGCGCTCTGACACCGCTTGAGCGGCCCTGTGTTCCCATACGGAAGAGTGGTTTGCAATCTGGACTCACCCTCTTGCCTCCTGTTCGGCCTCCTCTGCTGGGGAATTATTTCCCCAGGTGGCCTCTGCCCCCTGGCTGCTCTGACCACTGAGTGGGCTTCTCAGGCCTTTGGCTTGCAGCTAGCCTGCCGCAGTAAGGGAGCGCGGGGTCTCTCCAGACCTTCTCCTCCAATGGACTCAGCCCTGAGCATCGAGAGGCAGGCTGACGGGGGGAAGTCACAAACGCCGTGTTCCTAGCTAACTGCCGCACCTTTGCTTCTGCGCAGATCTACCCCAACGAGAGACACAGTATTCGGTGCCCCGAGTCCGGAGAGCATTATGAAATCACGCTGCTGCACTTTCTACAAGAATACCTCTGAGCGCACAGGCCTCTGCAAACTGGACACTGACAGTTCAGCTCTGCCCTGCCACTCCCCTCCGAAAGCCTCCTCATCCGGGGCACGTACCACCGAGTGCCCATCTCCAACGAGGGGGGAAGGGGAGGGCACCCAACCTATTTCCTCTGGACAGTGTCCCCTTCCTTCACTTTCCAGGTTGGAGCTCTGCTCAGCCACTCACCTCTCTGGCCTGGCTGTTAATTGCTTTTTTTTGCTGCTACTCCCCCTCTGCTGGGATTTCAGCGGACAGTGGCCTGTCTCTGGAGGCAGAGCTCTGCGTCTCTCCCTTTTCCTTCCGCCGCACCTCAGCTGACCCTGTGCACTCACCTGCGAGCCCTCCAGACCTGGGCTGGAGATGGAAGAGCCGCATCAACCAGCTGCCTTAAGCCAGGAGGGAGAGGGGAGAGAATTACCCACTGCCACGTCCTACGGGGTTTGATCGCTGCTGCTGCTTCGTGGCCCGTATGTGATGAGCGTAGGAGCTCTGGGATCTGAGGAGAGCTCCGCGGAAGCATGCAACACTAGTCGTTCGTTGTTGGTTTTTTATTTAATTTTTTTGCAGAGCAGATAGGAGGAAGCAGCCGGGGCTGGCAACAGCATCCTCTGGCACCTTTCTCCGCTGCTCCTGGGCAGAGTTGTGCCAACAGGTAGCATGGCAGCCGAAGCAGCTGGCTACAACCAGATCAGCACTCTCCTGTACAGAAACTGCAGCGTCTGGATTTTGCCCCCCACGATGGATATTTATGCAACTATTTACTCCCCCTTCTCCCTCCTTCCCTCCCCTCTACCCTTCTTTGTGCTGTGTCCCCGCCCCTGCTTTCCTCCCCAGTGCCCTGAGCTTTCAGACATGCACTGAAATTGGCTGTGCTTCAGTTCTCTGCGGGTCAGTGACTGTTTCCCTCGCGCATCTATTTGGCGAACACTCTCCTCTGGTTTTTATTTTCCTGCTCAACAGGAACTGCAGTTCCAGAGAGAGGGGGTCGAGCAATTGCACCTCAGGGGAGCCACCCTCCCTCCCCCACGCCAAGGGTTCTGTCAGGGGCAAAGCAAAAGAGAAACCCACCCTAATGAACCACATGGATTTGCCCTCGAGTATTTTAAGTGCGTATTATGAAAAGAAAATATTTTTATGGATTCTTATTCTTTTATAATTATGAGTGTACGAGGTAGCGACTCATTAAAATATTGGAAGCAGACCCAGCTGTGCTCTCTCTGGTCTTTGAGCTCCCCGGAAGGGGGAGCAGCAGGGTCTCGCCTCCTCTGGCCTGACTGCAAGAGGAGCTCAGCCCCCGGCATCTCCCACCGATGGCTGTTCGCAGGCCATGTAAGCACTTCCCATTTGATATCTGAGGCCTGGTACTGCCATGAGAGGTGGGCAGATGGGGAGCACGGGCCTGTCTCTGCTCATCTCGCTGCGCAATTGGGGCAGCGAGTCTGAGAAGGCGGCCCTTCATCCCTCAGTCTGACCCTCTGTTCAAGGGAGCAGCGGGTTAATTAACCTGAGAGCGCGAGCCACAGCTCCTGGGTAAGTGCGAAGCATCATCTGCCTGAGCTTTGAAGCACCTCCTGCCCATGGCTATTCACCCGTTGTTCCCCTTTGCTTCTGCCTTGCCTGCCTGTGCTGTAATCACGTTCTCGCTGCTCCCGGAAGTCCTGTTGGGTAAGAGGCTGAGCAGCACTGGTGGGGGAGGGTGGTGTGATGAAGGAAGTTGCACACATCTACACTTCTCGGAGTGAAGGCGCTGGCTGCCTCCTAGCGCAGTGAGAAGAGGACTGGAGTTGCTTGCTTTCTCCTAGCCGCCGGAGACCCAGGTACGTGAGAGTCCATCGAGAACAAAGCCCTTGTGCACTGCCAGGATAGTTCCTTTCCCCTCTTTAATCCGAACAGCTTCCTCACTCTTGAAAGAGCAACAGATTGCAGAACACTTTGGATTGGTCCTGCCTTGGGCAGGGGCTCTGGACTTGATGACCTGCTGAGGTCTCTTCCAGCTCTGATTCTATGACAGATCCGAGCCCGTCAGGCCCTTATTCCCAGCCTGCTGCATCCTTTCCTTTTCCTCCTGACTCTTTAGACTGTGTGGTAGGAAACCAGCAATGTCCAACCTGCCTCGTAAGCTCTCTAGCGCTCAGAGCCCAAGGCAGTTTGTCATATTGTGCGCTAAGTGGACTTAATGCTTCTGCAGCATTTTTTTTTAAAGTCCTTCTGCAGCGTTTCCAAATCTCTCCGCTGTTGTGATCATCCAAGTTCACTCCTTGAATTTGTAAGATTCTTCCATGCCATGAAGAGGGGCTCGTGTGTGCTCTCTCTCTCTCTCTCTCTCTCTCTCTACAAGAGGGATTGAGAACTTGCAGTAGCTGGGAGATTGACCGTCTCCAATCTGTTACTAGAGCCTATTGGGCTCTATGGACAAATTAGGTAGCGTTCCCACCGTATTCCTCTCAGCGGCCCCTCACCTCATCCCTACCTCTGTGATGCTGAGGCCAGGTTGTGCCTCTCTTCCTGTATCTCATGAGGTGTGGCTGGCGTGTTCAAATGAATTGCACCTGGAAGCACGTGGTACTCGTGGACCGAGTGTGGATAATATTCCACGAGAACAGAACTGCTCTCCAGAGCTGGTTGGGAAAGGAATTATTTCCTTATGGGAAAAATAGGAAAGTCCTTTTCTCCCTGTTTTTTCTTTCTTTGTTTAAAATGTTCTGCTCTGAGGGGCCAGAATGTTGGTTTTTAAAATCACACTTTTTTGTTCCAGTGTTGGGGTTTGAAAAGTATCTACTGGGGAGGAGTTCACAAAAAATTCAGCTTAATCCAAAAGCCACTTTCTGCCCACCCCCCCCATGGAAAACTTTCTAGCATCTCCCTTGATTACTGCACCGTGTTTTATTAGTCTCAAGTGATGGGCAGCCATGAGGGTCCCTAGAGATTGAGACAAGCTGCGTGAGATAATGAAATCTCGAAAGATTACATCTTCCATCTTGACTCTAATGCTTAGTGGCCCGACGGTGATGGGTCTTTGAAAGCCATTAGACAATGCTACGTTAATGGGAGGGTGTGTGTGTGTTCAGGGGCTAGAAACTGTCTGTCTGTTTTCTTTCAGGGGCTAAAAACTTTGTGCCCTTTGCTTACTCTTTCATGACTGAGCTATGTTGGAACAATATTGCCACATTCTGAAGAGCTGTGTTGCTGTGACGCACAACCCCCAGCGCTGCATTATTTACAACACTGCAGTAGTTTAAGGGGGAAAGAAAAGGGCCCTCAGTGTGGTGTCTGGAAGACAGATGCCTAGGGGCAGAGCTCTTGTTGCATCGTTGGGGAAAATTATAAAGTATCAAATGCACCAGAAAATTCTCCCAAAGGGAGTTCGCCGAAACCTACCTGCCAGCTTCTAACGTTCAGCGAGCCCCCTCCCACCCACGGCACAGCTATGTTTAGCCCTCACATTTGTTCTCCATTAACACAGTGGCATTACAGTGCCTTATAGTTCCTCCCCCCTAACTGGTAACCCTTCCACTCTTTCTAGGCTGTTAGGCTGGCAGCCTTTGTCCGATAGACTCACTGTTTTGTAGAAATTCTGCCGCAGCCCCAGATCTAACCTACGAACTCGATGGCTGATGTGGCTGCTGCAGCTGTCCTAGCCAGACACGTGGCCTCACACCTGTTGCAGCCTTCGCTCGCTCCAGGGTGTAGGCTCCTTCCGGCCGAGGGGCTGGACTGGCCAGCGCATGCAGTCGTTTACCCAGTGCCACACGTGTATCCTCATTCTGAGCTGGTGCCATCTTACACTGGCTTGGCCTTGGGGTAAAGGATGCACAGAGGGAAATGGAGAATCGAACCCACTTCCCAAAGGGCGTGCTATGGAGTCGTGTGTGTGGTTTCCACCCACCAACAGCAACACTTACATAGACCAAGGGGCAGAACCAATTCAGGGAGGGCAGCTTGCTGGAGTGACAGATCCAGGGTGTCCCTGACCAGCCCAGCCCTGTATGCTCTGGGAGGAAGTGGGAGAGGAAATCCTGTTCCTGTGAAGCTGACACAGGAGTAATGGGCTCTTGGGGGGTGTCGGTACTAAAGATCAGAGGGGTAGCCGTGTTAGTCTGAATCTGCAAAAGCGACGAGGAGTCCTGCGGCACCTTATAGACTAACTGAAGTGTAGGTACTAAAGATGCATCACATGGGGTAGGGGGAGAGGTGGGAGAGCTGGATTTTAGCTCTGTCACGGGCTTCCCAGTGTGAGACGTGCCTCAGTTTCCTCTCTCTGAAATGGGCCTCACTGATATTGCAACAAAGCCAGGAGGCCTCCAGCTAGGGAACAGGCTTGGAGCTGTAGGCAGGATGGTCTTCCAGATCCTTTGCCTGCTTAAGTAATTGGAGGGAGGGGACTGTTCGATCTGCCTCCTCTTAACCCTAGGCATTAGCCACCACCTTCCTGCTCTCCTGAGCTCCTGTGGGAAGGGCCCTGAGCTTAGAACCCAAGGAGCAGTGCCTCACACACAGCTCTGCGATCGCCCACGCCTTGCGATAAACCTTGATGCAAAGTAACAGCCTTCTCTCTTCCTCCCCCGGTTTCTCTGACCTTATCCATCACACATGCGATTTCTGCCTCCCGTCATGCTGCTCACAAACAGCTCTACTTATCAGCACTGCGGGAGGATGTGTGAGAGTCTGCGGCAGCCACAGCCCAGGGAGAGAAGGGAGGGGCTGAATGCTGAGAGAAGACGCCTGCAATATTTTCAGTCATTTTCAAATGGGTCTTGAGGTTGGGCTGGACTGTGGCTTACTGGCCAACAGGAAAACCAGCTTCCTAGAGAAACAAGAACATAATGGCCGTACTGGGTCAGACCAAAGGTCCATCTAGCCCAGGAGCCTGTCTGCCGACAGTGGCCAGCACCAGGTGCCCCAGAGAGGGTGGATCGAAGATAATGATCAAGCGATTTGTTTCCTGACATCCCTCTCCAGCCTCTGACAAATAGAGGCCAAGGACACCATTTTATCCCCTGGCTAATAGCCTTTTATGGACCTAACCTCTACGAAATTATCTAGCTTCTCTTTGAACTCTATTATAGTCCTAGCCTTCACAGCCTCCTCTGGCAAGGAGTTCCACAGGTTGACTACACGGTGTGTGAAGAAGAACTTTCTTTTATTAGTTTTAAACCTGCTACCCATTAATTTCATTTGGTGTCCTCTAGTTCTTCTATTTAGGGAACTCATAAATAACTTTTCTTTATCTGCCCTCGCCACTCCACTCATGATTTTATAGATCTCTATCATATCCCCCCTCAGTCGCCTCTTTTCTAAACTGAAAAGTCCCAGTCGCTTTAACCTCTCCTCATATGGGACCCGTTCCAAACCCCTAATCATTTTAGTTGCCCTTTTCTGAACCCTTTCCAAGGCCAAAATATCTTTTTTGAGGTGAGGAGACCAAATCTGTACACAGTATTCAAGATGTGGGCGTACCATAGTTTTATACAGGGGCAGTAAGATATTCTGGGTCTTATTTTCTATCCCTTTCTTAATAATTCCTAGCATACTATTTGCTTTTTTGACCACCGCTGCACACTGTGTGGAAGTTTTCAGAGAACTGTCCACGATAACTCCAAGATCTCTTTTCTGATTTGTCATAGCCAAATTAGCCCCCATCATACTGTACGTATAGTTGGGGTTATTTTTCCCGATGTGCATTACTTTACACTTATCCACATTAAATTTCATTTGCCATTTTGTTGCCCAATCACTCAGTTTGGTGAGATCTTCTTGGAGTCCCTCACAGTCTGCTTCTGTCTTGACTATCCTAAACAGTTTGGTATCATCCGCAAACTTTACCACCTCACTGCTTACCCCTTTCTCCAGATCATTTATGAATAAGTTGAAAAGGATTGGTCCCAGGACTGACCCTTGGGGTACACCACTAGTTACCCCTCTCCAATCTGAAAATTTACCATTTATTCCTACCCTTTGTTTTCTGTCTTTTAACCAGTTCTCAATCCAAGAAAGGACCTTCCCTCTTATCCCATGGCCATGTAATTTATATAAGAGCCTTTGGTGAGGGACCTTGTCAAAGGCTTTCTGAAAATCCAAGTATACTATATCTACTGGATCCCTCTTGTCTGCATGTTTGTTAATCCCTTCAAAGAACTCCAAGGCTATGTCTAGACCGGCATGATTTTCCGGAAATGCTTTTAACAGAAAAGTTTTCCGTTAAAAGCATTTTCGGAAAAGAGCGTCTAGATTGGCACGGATGCTTTTCTGCAAAAGCACTTTTTGCAGAAAAGCGTCCGTGGCCAATCTAGACACGCTTTTCTGCAAAAAAGCCCCGATCGCCATTTTCATGATCGGGGCTTTTTTGCAGAAAACAAATCTGAGCTGTCTACACTGGCCCTTCTGTGCAAAAGGGACTTTTGCCCGAACGGGTGCAGCATAGTATTTCCGCAAGAAGCACTGATTTCTTACAGTAGGAAGTCAGTGCTTTTGCGGAAATTCAAGCGGCCAGTGTAGACAGCTGGCAAGCTTTTCCAGAAAAGCGGCTGATTTTCCGGAAAAACTGGCCAGTCTAGACACAGTCCAATAGATTAGTAAGACAGGATTTCCCTTTACAGAAACCGCGTTAACTTTTGTCCAACAAATTTATGTTCTTCTACATGCTTCACAATTTTATTCTCTACTATTGTTTCGACTAATTTGCCCGGTACTGAAGTTACTTACGGGTCTGTAATTGCCAGGATCGCCTCTAGAGCCCTTTTTAAATATTGGTGTCATAGACATTTGTCCATGATGCGTCTAGACTCTTGCTCATGAGGAGGCTTGGAAAGGTACATTAATAAATGTCGGTAATTGTAGATTTCATCCCAGACACACACTGATCCAAAACCATCCCACAGATGATGATGGAGATGGACAAAGCTTGTTCGTGTCTCAGCACAGAAAGCTCTTGACTTTGGGTATCATTTCACAGGTCTTGTTGCCACTGGGTGTTTGAACAGTTCTAAGAACATAGCTGCCATGCGGGTCAGATTATCCTGTCTTCTAGCAGTGGCCAGTGCTTTGTGGCCCAGAAAGGACGAGTAGAACAAGCAATAAGTGATCCAACACCTGGTGCCCATTCCTAGCGTCTTGCGAATGGAGGTGGGCGCATGTCATCCCTGCCCATGCTGGCTAATAGCCATTGAGGGACCAGCCTCCATGAACTTGTCTGGCTCTTTTTATGAAGCGTTCACTTGTGGAAGCTTAAGTTATCGGTTGAGGGAAACAAAGCGAGTGGTACGAGCTGAGTTGTGACCTCTGCAGTTTGCAGCATCAGGCCCTGGGAGGCCAGTACTGAACCCCCAACCTCTTTGCAACCAACAGAGCTGCCAGTGCAGGCTGTGGGGCAGGGATTGTGCCCCTAGAAGCTGCTGCAGCGGAACGGGAGTGCCTCTCCCCCGAGCTTGGATCCCAGCGGGCAAACAGGCTTGGCCGCTCAAGCTAAGTGAGTGGGAGTTCGGCTGCTCGCCCGGGGAAGCTTGCCCCTCCTCCATGCAGTGTAGACATACCCTTCGAGTTTGGCCAAAGGAGCTGGTCCTAGAGGGGAACCAAGGTCAAGGCTTCTGTGACACCTCCCAGCAGCCTGGGCAAGAAGTGAGAGTGCTAGTTGGGCAGCTGACCCGAAGGAGGCAGCCCCAAGATCAAAGAACTGTTGGTAAGAAGGGGTGCAGAGGAGAGCCAAGGCACTGGCGTAGCGATGTGTGTTAAAGATGAGGCAGAAACGAGGAGTGATGGGATGCATGAAACAGTCGGGGCTGAAATCCTTTGGGGGAAAGCAAGCTACTCGAGGTTCCTCTGCACTGGTGGCTCCAGGATCTGCATTGGACATGGCAGTGAAATCAAGACCGCCGGGAATTGTGTGTTTCTGGGCGATTTTAACTTCCCAGACAAGTGCTAGCAGGGCCCATGTTTACCTGGGTGTGATCGCTGACCTTCACCAAGTAGGCCCTGAGCCAACAGCAGGAGAAGCCTTTTCCAGCTTGGTCTTGGTGAGCAGTGAGGACCTCCGAGAAGAACTGGTTGTAGGGGACCGCCTCGGTTGCTGCTGAAACTAAATGGAAGGATCCACCAAGCTGGACCTGCAAGTAGGCTCCTTGATTTCCAAAGGGCTAACTTGAGCACATGAAGGGGGTTAGGGCAGTGGATCGGACTGAGCAGCTCCAGGATCGGAGACCCACTAAATGGAACTCGGGAAGATCCAGCGCGGCAGCATCGATTTTCCACGTAGTGAAGAAAACAACGCGGCTGCTGTCTATGGGGGCAGTAAGGAAAGAGCTGGGAGAGGCAGAACCTCCTAGAGTGGGGAAAGAGGGTCTCTGTTTCTACCTGCTCCCAGCCCCTCAAGGGGCCTTGCCCCTGCTCCCCAGTGACTGCTCCCACCCATCTGGCTCCCACTGTTGCCTCTGCATCCCGCCCCCCAGCTGTGCCCAAGCTTACATGGGGGCAGAGCCCTCTGAACAGTCCCATTGCTGCTTTGCTTCCCGCTCTCTTCCGACTGCTGCCACTGCCCTGGGCTGCAGCTGCGGCAGCAGCGACCCTGCCTGGCCGGCACCTCGCTTTGGCAGCCGCGTTTCCTGTTGATCTCGGGCAGTGGGGAGGTGCCCATCGCTGGGCAGCCCTGGCGCTACGGTGTCCCCACAAACCGGGCTAGCCCCGGGAAGAGCTACCGGGCAGTGCGGCGTTGCCAGAGTGGATCAGGCGGTCCTGTCTCCCAGCTCTGATGATGGTCAGTGAGCGCCGGCCCCACGCTGGACCCTGGAGAAAGCCAAAGTGCAAATGCAGCTCCGGGCCCAGGGAGCCTGGAGTGCAAAGGGCACGTGGACAGGGCCGGCGGCCCCCACGCTCTGCTGTGATACAGGGCGGCGACGCTGTGCTGGAGAGCCAGAGCTCCAGCCTGCTGCACCGCGCTGTCTAACCCTGGGTTGAATGCGGGGCAGGCAGGGGCCCAGGTGTAATCAGTAACCTTGCAGCTGGTGCAGAGGTGAGGGAAAGGGCTCAGCTCTTGGCCCTGAGCTTGGATTCCCGTCTGCCCGCCAGACCTCAGCAGGACTGGCCGACCTGGGGGAGGGCTTGGTTATGGGTTTGCTGAGACGGCACGCAAGGGGATCCTGGGCAACGGCTCCATCGCTGGGGTGTAACCAGCTAGGAGCTGGACCGAGAGCCCCCACCGCCTCCTGGGAGCCACTCGGTGGCTGTTCCAGCGCCAGCACTTTTCAGCCTGGCCTGGAGAGGAGCTGCCGGGCAGAGGGGGCTTTTAAATGAGTTTCCTGGGATTCGGTTGCCAGGATCGCGGGAAGGGGAGGGATGTCCTGGCCCATGTTACACCGGGGACTGAAGGCAACTTGCTGCTGCGGAGCCAGGAGCCAGGAAGAGCAGCCGGGATTAAACTCTAACGGGCGCGTTTTAACCCACCAGCCTGGGAGCGATGCAGCCACCGCTGCTGCTGGGGGCCCTGGCGGTCCTGCTGGGCGTGGTTGGGGCACTGGATCCGGCCCTGGAGGAAATCTGGAGGGGCTGGAAGAGCTTCCATGGGAAGCAGTATCCTGATGTAAGTCCCGCAGCCCTGGTGGCTCCGACCACAGGGAACGGCTCCAGCCGGCAGTCTGGAGGTTGGGGGGGGGGAATTAGCCAGCAGGGCCCCCCTGGAATCCCATGCACCCAGTCACCCTTACTGTTTAGATATTTGATGTGCTGTGAGCCTAGACACCCACAGCTTCCCATGCTTGCAAGCACCTGTCAGCCGATGGTCAGGGGAGTGTGTGGGTGTGTGTGTGTGTGTGGGGGGGGGGGTTTTCTTCTTTCCTTCCTTGCTGGGTGGTGGGTTGAGCCTCAACAGGTGCAGGACTGTGGTCCCCTCCCCTCTCCCCCGGCTCCTGGAGGGATTTGTGCCCCTCGGGGGGATCCAGCTTCTTTGGCTAGATTTTGCCACAGCTGCTCCCAGCTGGAAATAGGGAGACTTGGGGGTTAATGGAGACGGGGGAAGGGGGAGTTTTCAGGGGTGCCCTGTTTCGCCAGGCCTGGGAGAGGAGGGGACGTCGGCCCCTGGAAGCAGCGGTGGAGAATTGGTGAGGGCTGGCAGGGGGGGAAAAGCCCCACGTTCCCCAGCACCTCACACCACACGCTTGAGGTGACGGGGTCGCTGCTATCCCCTAACCTCACTGCTCTGCCCTCCCTGCCCCCGGTCAGGCTGGTACCAAGAACAGCTTCCATCGAGGCCCACCCCGCTGGGCGTCGGCTTCCAGGGAGCTGGGGCCGTGGCCACGCGTAACCACGCTGTCGCTCTGTCCCCGGGCAGGAGGCGGAAGCTTTCCGCAGGGCCGTCTGGGAGAAGAACCTGCGGCGGATTGAGCACCACAACCTGGAGGAGACTCTGGGCAAACACGGCTACCGCCTGGAAATGAACCACTTCGGGGACCTGGTAACCTGCCCCCGGTGCAGAGCCTGGGGCTGGGCTGCAGGGCAAGGCAGCAGCAGGGCCAAACTCGAATCTTCCTCCCCTGCCTCGTGCGGCTCCTTGCTGGGCCTGGCACATGCTACGTCGCAGCCTCCCTCCTTCCCAGGATGCCCACTTGTGACCCTGCTCCTCTGGCCCCACCCCCCTCCATACCCACTGCTGCCCCCACTGGCTCCAGAGCCCCACGGTTTTATAACTTGCCCTCCTTCCGCACCTGCCTCTTCATCCCCCTCCTGGCTGCTGTCGGTGCAAGAGCCGCCTCCTGTGCAGCTCCCTGCTCGGGGCCTGGCTTCCCTCTGAGCACCATTGACTGTCCTCTCTGTCTGTCCTCCCAGGGGTCGGGTACCAGGGGCAGGCCTGGTTTGCAATGGGTCCGGGACCTACCCCTGCTGCAGTTCTGCATTTAAAGTGTCTTAGGAGCCGGGTGGGCAGGCAGCCCGGCTCAGTTCTGGCTCATGCTGGGTCGGGGAGCTCAAACCACCCCCCAGACAGGGGCTGCCGCCACCCCACCCTGCTGCCTCTTTCTCCAAGGCAGCAGCACAGGGCAAGAGGCAGCCGGTCCGCAGGGGGAGCTGGTTTTTCAACCGGCTCCCCTCACAGATGCAGATCTCCTGTCGGCCAGTGGTTCTCCGTGACACTGGCTAGGCGTTCTGTCACCCGCCTTCCAGATTGAAGTTTTCCTTGCTCCCTGCAGACGGACGAAGAGTTTAACCAGCAGCTGAACGGTTTCCTCGCCGACGCCCCCGAGCGACACGGCGGGAAGGCGGCTCTTTTCCACGAGTCGGCTGCTCGGGAGACTCCCAAGGAGGTGGACTGGCGTGCCAAAGGTTATGTCACGCCTGTGAAAAACCAGGTGGGCGGAGCAGAGAGCACCCTGATGGAGACCTAGCTGCTCCTCCCAGCCTCCAACCATGGCAACCCCCTAGCCCTGAGCTCCTGGCCGTTGGCCTCCAAGGCCGGGACACGACAACCCTCAGGCAGGCCTGGCCACTGTCAGGATGGCACCGCTGCCTGCGGCTTGCACCTGCCCCTCTGGAAAACGAGCTCAGCCCAGGGCCCTAGTGCCCAGCCAGGCTGACGGGGCAAGGATGTAACAGTGTAACCGTCGATTAACCGAGAAGTAAAAGTTTATAGGCTAATGCTATAGACTCCATGCATTTCCCTCCCCTTCCCCCCCACCAGTACGTTTTTTAGCAGGCTGGCCCCCTCCTAGCTGCTGTTGGTGCAAGAGCCTCCTCCTATGCAGCTCCCTGCACATGGGCCTGTCTCCCCTCTGAGCACCATTGACTGTCCCCTCTGTTTGTCCTCTCAGGGGTTGGGTACCAGGGGCAGGCCTGGCTCAGCCCCGGTTTGCAATGGATCCCGGACCTACCCCTGCTGCGGCTCTGCATTTGAAGTGTCTTAGGAGCCGGGCAGGCAGCCCGGCTCGGTCCTGGCTCATGCTGGGTCCGGGAGCTCAAACCGCCCCCCAGACGGGCGGCAGGCAGCCAGTCCGTGAGGGAAGCTGGTTTTGAAACCGGCTCCCTTCACAGACCAGCTCCCGCCTGGCGCCCTGAGGCAGAGGCGGCAGCACGGAGTGGCGGGGGCCCCTTGGGAGTGAGGCCGGAGCGCGCTGGCTGCCAGCCCCGCCCCCAGGGCCTATAGACGAGTCGACTAACCAATAAGAATTCATGAGGTTACTCGACTGTTCAATTAACCGAGATTTAACATCCCTCCGACGGGGCGGTGGCAACTAGCCTGCGTGGAGCTGGTCGGCCCTTGGCCTGCCCCAGTTTTCATGAAGCGCCCTGGAATGAGCCTTCGCCCCCCTGCTTCTTCCGGGGTGCAGGCAGCCCCAAGTGCCACGCCCGGTCGAGCAGCAACCCCCAGAGGGAGGCAAAGGGAGCCCCCCGCCCCCGCTCTGCCACACCAGAGCACCCCGGCTGCTCCCTGCAGGTGCTGCAGCTACTCCAGTGTCCCTGGTGCGAGGCCCCGACGATTCTCTAGCCCGCCCTCCTGCACCACGTTGCCTCCCAGAGACTCCTGCACTTCATCTGGAGCAGGGGTTCTCCGCCGGCCAGTCAGTCAGTCAGCACACAGCACCTGCCCGTGGGACACCCTTAGGCCACACACTTTGGCTACGACTACACAGCTTACCCTCTTCCGCAAAAGCCTATGCAAATGAAGCACAGATTAGCATATTACCGCACTTCATTTGCATAATTAGGAGCCGCTTTTGCATAAAAAGGCGCCATCTACACAGAGCCTTTTTGCGCAAAAAGCCCCTCCTGCGCGTGAGCCGTTCTTTTGTAAAAAAGAGGAAGAACGGTTCTTGTGCAAGAGGGTTTTTGCGCAAAAAGGGCTCCTAATTAATTATGCAAAATGACGTGGCAATATGCTAATTTGTGCTTCATTTGCATAGGCTTTTGTGGAAGAGGGGAGCTGTGTAGACATAGCCATTGTGTGGCTACGGCCCAGGTCACACAGCGAGCAGTAAACAGGTTCCAGCTGAGCGGTTCTCCACCTCTCCCCGCCTCCCTCCCTGCAGGGCCACTGTGGGTCCTGCTGGGCTTTCAGCGCCACTGGAGCCCTGGAGGGCTTGGTCTTCAAGAAGATGGGCAAACTGGTGTCGCTGAGCGAGCAGAACCTCATGGACTGCTCCCGGAGGCTGGGGAACAGCGGCTGCCACGGGGGCTACATCACCCGGGCCTTCCAGTACGTGCGGGACAACGGGGGCATCAACTCGGAGCTCGTCTACCCCTACCTGGAGAAGGTAACCTAGGCAAGCGCGGGCTGCGGGGCTGGGCAGCTCCCGGGAGCAGTGCGGGAGCTCCCGTGTCGTCCTCTTTCTGTCCACGCAGGATGTATTCAGCTGCCATTACAACACCCAGGACAAAGCCGCCAACTGCACCTCTTTCCTGCTGGTCCCTCAGGGCAACGAGACGGCTCTGGAGCAGGCGGTGGGCACTGTCGGCCCCGTCTCTGTTGCCGTGGATGCCAACAACTTCGCCTTCCACTTCTACAAGTCAGGTGCCAGAGGGCCTCAGGGGGCTGTGTCTAGAAAGCGTCGCTGCGATGATCGAGTTCAGTGCCTTCCAACCTGGTTTCGTTCGCAGACTCTGAACCTTTTGAAGGGAGGCCCCTTTGGAAATCGAAGGCCTAGTCTGCAGACCGCATGTTGGAAACCACTGACCTAATCTTCTGTCATAAGAACGGGTCGCACTGGGTCAGACCAAAGGTCCATCTAGCCTGTATCCTGTCAGCAGCTTCTGACAGCAGCCCATGCCAGATGGCCCAGAGGATGTGAACAGACCCAGGGAATCAAGCGATCCCTCCCTACATAATTAGTATATAATTCAGTGTGTACTAATCTATTAGAGTTCTTTGAAGGGGTTAACAAACATGCAGACAAGAGGGATCCAGTAGATATACTATACTTGGATTTTCAGAAAGCCTTTGACAAGGTCCCTCACCAAAGGCTCTTGTGTAAATTACATGGCCATGGGATAAGAGGGAAGGTCCTTTCTTGGATTGAGAACTGGTTAAAAGACAGGAAACAAAGGGTAGGAATAAATGGTAAATTTTCAGATTGGAGAGGGGTAACTAGTGGTGTCCCCCAAGGGTCAGTCCTGGAACCAATCCTTTTCAACTTATTCATAAATGATCTGGAGAAAGGGGTAAGCAGTGAGGAGGTAAAGTTTGCCGATGATACCAAACTGTTTAGGATAGTCAAGACAGAAGCAGACCGTCAGGGACTCCAAAAAGATCTAACCAAACTGAGTGATTGGGCAACAAAATGGCAAATGAAATTTAATGTGGATAAGTGTAAAGTAATGCACATTGGGAAAAATAACCCCAACTATACGTACAGTATGATGGGGGCTAATTTGGCTACGACAAATCAGGAAAGAGATCTTGGAGTTATCGTGGACAGTTCTCTGAAAACTTCCACACAATGTGCAGCGGTGGTCAAAAAGGCAAATAGGATGCTAGGAATTATTAGGAAAGGGATAGAAAATAAGACCCAGAACATCTTGCTGCTCCTGTATAAAACTATGGTACGCCCACATCTTGAATACTGTGTACAGATGTGGTCTCCTCACCTCAAAAAAGATATTTTGGCCTTGGAAAGGGTTCAGAAAAGGGCAACAGAACTGATTAGGGGGTTTGGAACGGGTCCCATATGAGGAGAGGTTAAAGCGACTGGGACTTTTCAGTTTAGAAAAGAGGAGACTGAGGGGGGATATGATAGAGGTCTATAAAATCATGAGTGGTGTGGAGAGGGCTGATAAAGAAAAGTTATTTATTAGTTCCCATAATAGAAGAACTAGAGGACACCAAATGAAATTAATGGGGAGCAGGTTTAAAACTAATAAA